ATATGATCCGGTGCTCCGGTTATATATCTAGATATCCTTGATAAAATCCAAAGAAGAATCAGCAATATTATTGGTCCTGATCTGACATCTCGGCTTGAATTTCTTCCCTGTAACTTTTCTGTTAATACTACCATGGAAAGTGTTCGGATATGTTCTTCGCAATGGTACCTAGACTTTATGAATGTAAGTGCAGTGCTAGACTAACGACAAGTTCTCATCAATTTACAGGTCATTTGGCTAGATGTAACCGTAAGTTCTATGCTGACAGTTTCTTTTCTCGCAATTCTCGCGTGTGGAACTCCATGCGTTCGGGTCGAACTTGCTCGAAAACAAGTGCTTTCAGCTTGTTTAGTTAGCTTATGAAAGTTATAGTAAGTAAACATTCATGTTTCCAAAGCTACGAAAGCAAACAAAAACTAGGCAAAATCAAGCTGTTTTCGCTCGAAAACAAGTGTTTCAGCTTCCATAGGTAGCTTACACAAAGCTATATTAATTTAATTTGGTGTTTCCAAACTGTTTAAAAAGAGCAAAATGCTGTCGAAATCAAGATGTTTTCACTCAAAAGCTACTGTTTTCAGCTTGTTTAGGTTGCTTATAAAAAGTTATATTAACTAAAATTTGGTGTTTACAAATTGTTGGAAACAAGCAAATAGAAACAGAACCGAAAAATCTTTCTGTTAAACATGCACGTAATTATGTGTCTACTACTACGTCAGCTCGCCAGGTGTAAATAACAGGTCGCGTGATAGCCCTAGTAGCAGTTGGATCTAACAGTCCGAGTTGAAGTTGTAAATTAAACTTTTTTATCTGGTCTAATTCCTGTTGCAAGAAAAGTATCTTTGTAAGAAGAAACTGATTTTTAAAAGCAAAATATAAGAGAAATATATATATATTTTTACGTCACCTAAACTAAATTTGGAATTTTAAAAAAAAAAATGGGGATTTATACTTTAAGTGTCCTTTTACTTTGCGGACAAGGTGAATATTTTTACAAGGCCAAATTATTACCCCCACACATTTCCACAGGTTACTTAGAGATTGAGATTTAAAACGTCTGAATTTGAGACGGGAGCAGTAAGGTGTCTGGAAAAACAAAGCCTGGCTGGTGTATCAAGGACAACTTGCGATCCCATACGACTTTTATTGTTCAGCCGGAGCGAAAAGAAAATTCATTGACAGTTAATCCCCACCCATCAGTCTCTCCAGCTTCGGCTCCAGTTGACTCTTATCTTTCACAGATAAAAGAGATAATCTCGTTTATAAAAATATCTACCAAAAGAGGTAACATGTTCATAGTTAGCCTCACAATATCATAGGTGTGTATTTACTATATTTAAGTTGAAAACAAGTTCCATTTGTTTATCAAAACGCATAGGTTTCATCTTTACGTTAGGGTTTATTGAATAATTGTTATAGAATTTGCCGTCGCGCAGGGGATAAGACATTTGGATGGAGTAGAACAATTGACACTGCATCTTCAAAAACTAGGTGCTTTTTCTTTTTTTCTTTAGTCAGGACCGAGATTAAACTCGCACATAGCGATGTGAGTCCTGCCTGACAGAGGATCTGTGTCATAATAATTTGAGGAAAGGTTTTACAAAGCCGGATGCGTCTTCTCACACACAACACAGACACTGAAGTTATGGACCAGAGTCTTTATATCGAGATACCATCTCTAAGAAGGTGACCATTTAAGGCTTAAAACGCCATCCTGGTTATATATATATATATATATATATATATATATATATATATATATATAATAATATATTTAAAAAATATTATTCCATCGCTACATAAGAGTTTCATGTTTCTTTGATATTTTCTAAAAATTTTCGAACACACACACACACACACACACACACAAATATATATATATATATATATATATATATATATATATAAGGAAATTGATTAAATCCGGCAGATTTTTAATTTATTTGTTTAAACGTTAATTTTTAAATGGATACACACACACACACACACACACACACACACATATATATATATATATTTCTAGACAAAAGAAAAACTGATACGAACGCAAGAAAAATTGAATAAAAGGAAAATAAAGGAAATAAAAAGCTTCATCGCAGTCTCTTGTCAGACGTCCTTAAATATATATATATATTAATAATATATATATATATATATATATATATATATATATATATATATATATATATATATATATATGTGTGTGTGTTTGTCTGGTCTGAAGCATTCAGGCATAAACAGAATATCTATATGTTTATTTCAGTGTCACAACGCAATCATCAGGCCTGATGATTGTGTCTACCATGAGTCTGTCGCTACTGAATGTTAACTTCATTTTTCACTTTATATATATATATATATAATAACACTGAAAATGTTAATTGGATAAGACCAGGAAACAGTGGTATTAAAAAGTGCTCAATTCACATGTGAAAAATGAGCTTTGAAATTTAAAAATTTAAGAGATCAATCGATTCGGCTGGTTTGGTGTCAGCCTTTCGATATCGTCGGGCGATTTGTATCAATTGATTTTCCAACGGTTTATTTAAAAAAAAATAGTAATGAATATTGTTTTTTTAAAAATAAAGCGTTAAGAAATCGATTGATAAAAACCGTCTGACAATGCCGAAAGGTTGACACTAAACCAGCGGAATCGACTGATCTATTTTTTTTTTTTTAATTTTTAAATTTCAAGGAAATAACGGCCAACATATATATATATATATATATATATATATATATATCATCCAATTACAGACTGTTTCGCTGTGTCACAGGCCATCCGTATGGCAAGACATCCGATTGCTTCAAGTCAGAGACCCTTACCCCTAGGCTATCGGCGCACGGCAGAGAAAAGAGAATTTTAACGCATTATATACGTGATATATAAATGTCATAGCGGCCGCCATAGCACACAATACTTACAAAAGAGCGATGCATTTAAAGCAGTATATATATATATATATATATATATATATATATATATATATATATACTGCTTTAAATGCATATATATATACTACTTTAAATGCATATATATATATATATACTGCTTTAAATGCATATATATATATATATACTGCTTTAAATGCATTTATTTACTGTTTTAAATGCATATATATACATATATATACTGCTTTTAAATGCATATATATATATATATATATATATATATATATATATATATATATATATATATATATGTGTGTGTATGTGTGTGTGTGTTTCTGTGTGTTGACCGTTTGTTCCTATAAGTAGTTCATCCTCCCTTTGACAGGTTTTCTTTTTTGTCCTGCGGAGTGACAAGCCACCCTCCTATTCATCAGACAAGCTAGTGGAAGAGTTGATTTAGGCGACCATCACCATCCCATATGGCAGGTTGCACTGGATTACGTATTGCTATTAGCAAGTGTAACCTTTACCTGACTTGCGACAAGAAGACATCCACAGATTAGAGAAATATCCTTTCGCTTAACGCTGACTTAAAGAATAGTTTGTTCGTCCATTTAAACATTACCCCAATATTTCTTCTGTCGTATCAAAAAGTGTATACTCCGATCATTTTTTTTAACATCTAGCCAACGGCGGCATATGGGTACACTTCCCAAAGTCTAGATCACTACAGCCTGGTAGCTGACCTCTCGTCTGTTCTAGCACTAACTGCTCAGTGAAGGAAAAACTATCCGGTCACATTCAATACCTCGAAAATCAAACTAGTGACATTCCATCATCGCCGAGCGAACACAGAGCTAACACCGAACCCAATGAGAGGATGTTCCCTCAGGGAGAACCCGTGACTTGACCGCCCTTTAGGACCCAAACCTAGAGTGGAATTCGGGCATCCTATCCACCACCAAAGATGCTTTGAAAATGGTCGGTACCTGACCAACGATGGAGAACTGCTACCACATATAAGCAGGAGCTGCCCAGTCTTTTATATTCCAGTTTGATCGAGCCCGAACGCTTCTCTGCGTCCTTGTGGGTGATGAATTATTTTCCACTCTAAAATCCCTTTCCCACAGACGAAACGTCGCAAGTCTCTCGCTCCTCTCTCGCTATTTCCATGGAAAATGTTCAGGCGAACTACGTCCCTTAGTACCACCAGTTCTAAACTTCACAGCTAAGACCCACTATGCCCCGCACATTGTACCGAACCACCTTCATTACCTTCGTATTCCATTGGAAAGCTCCACTCGAACATGAACACTTCCCATGAACTGCTGCTTTGCGGAGACGACCCCCAAGTGGATGCTCCCCCGTTCACTACAATATTGATTTGTTCATGTCTAGAGTTAACCGTTATCTTTCACACCTATTCGCATAAACTATGCCTCTTAGGCTCTAGCTCTCTATCTCGAGTGGCTCTCGTGCCATGTAAAAGGCAGACATTGTTGTTTAAAAAATATAAAAATAAAAGTCAACAATGCCTATTATACGTAATAGAAGCCCTCCGATATTTTACGAGTTCACCATTTCGAAATTGGTGGGAGCAAAAGCAAATAGCAGGCAACGAGAAAAACTCAAAACAATAAAGGAACACACGTTTAGAAAGGATTATTTAGGGAGTAAAATAAAGAGGGGGGTTGCTCACAAGAGAAATGGCATGTTTTTGATCCAAGACAGCGTTGGGCAGTCCATCTTGTCTTTCGCGCCAAATGCAAAGTCCATTTTGTTTCCATCCAATGTCATGACCCATAAAGCCGCATTTATTATCTCATTGCTATTGTCTGGAACACAGAGATCGGTAGGCACTGAAAGCAGGGTGTGGTTCGTGTTTGTATGATGGTAGCATGGATCTTGTATCTACGTTCAAAATAATTTACTCTTGACGGATGCATAAGAGGAAAGATGCATTTTTATTCGCATCGTAATCGACACAATCACAGAGAACGCAAAAACATCAACGAATAAAAATATGTTTTGATCTACTTAGTGTTGTTGACAGGGGTAGGTTCAGCATCATGATGATATACACCATGACTTTCAGAGGAACCATTAGCTAG